TGTCATGATCTTAAGATACCTCTGTGCCTTTCTGTGATATAGTCATATCATATGGCATAAATTCACAGAAGCAATCTGTAATCAATAAAATAAAAATAATCAGGATTATTTCTGACTGATATGGTAGGACTTTTATGAATTCACAAATATATATATATATATATGTGAAAGAACATGGAGGCGGGAACTGGCTTGAAGCATAAGGTGTCTGCTGGTGAAGTGACTTCCATCATATACAAGAGTTACAGAGGATTTAAATTTTGCTATTTTGTCTCCGCGTTAAGTCCAGATTGGGTCAACAATAAGTTTACAGTTTTAACCTGCTAAGATAGTTGGTTCGACTCCCCACAGTAGACAGAGTGCATATAACCCACTTAGTAGCTTTAAGCTAAAAAAAAACAAGTAACCCTATATTATCCACTCACTATTTCCTTATCTCAGGGCCGCGGGTTCGAATCCCCGTCCCACCAAACATTCTCGCCCTTTCAGCCGTAGGGCATTATAATGTGACGGTCAGTCCCACTATTCGTTGGTAAAAGAGTAGCCCAAGAGTTGGCGGTGGGTGGTGATGACTAGCTGCCTTCCCTTTAGTCTTTCACTACTAAATTAGGGACGGCTAGCGCAGATAGCCCTCGTTTAGCCTTGCGCGAAATTCCAACCAAACAAACTATTTCTTGTAGGAATTCAAATTTACAAAGTTGGGTTTTTAATTATTGAAAATCATGTTTTCAACATATCCAAGGGTCTCTCTGTTTTCACATTATGCTGAAATCCATTTTCTTTTTACCAACCTGTAAAACAGTTCATAGTTCTTTCTGGTGAAAGCTGTGATCAGACGAAACTGTCTTTAAATAAAATTCGTCAACACTAGGAATACGGTGCATAATGTTAGTTTGCACAACTTTATCGATAAATTTCCGCTGAAGAGAGCTGACACAGCTCGAAACTTCAGTATTAAGCTAATCGTAGCATAATTTTGTAGTCTAATCAGTGAGTTGAATGCATTTCACATGACAACAGCAACAACACCGTCAGATGGCGATGTGATCGATAAAACTTGTTTGGAGTTTTTTGTTTGTTTGTAAGTAAGCACAAAGCTACACAATGGGCTATCTGTGCTCTGCCCATCACGGGTGTCGAAACCCGGATTCTAGCATTGTAAGTCCGCAGACATACGCTGTGCCACTGGGGGGTGGGTTGTTTGGAGTTACTAAAGAAGCTCGAATTGCATAGCACACTACTGTAACTACAGGGAATTTTCCGCTCGTTGTTCTACAGTTTTAAACGCCATCTTTACGTAAGCAAGTTACATTTCTGCCAGAGTTGCGATTAAATATTATTATAAAACATAGTTTATGTATCGAGAGTAGCATGTTTGTGCAATAAACAGGAAGCTTTATTTTTTATTATTTTTCAATTTATAGGAAAACTAGTAACGCAATAAAAACCAAATGTATAATAAAACAATACTAATGTATGAAAAAACAACATGGTACAAATAAAATAAAAACCACATACATAATAACACCGTTCTAACCCAAGAAAAAATAAATGAATAGTAATATATTACCAACACAATAGAATCCATTGCATAATAACACAGTAAACACAAATGCATAATAATAAAGTAAAAACAAACGCTTATGAACATAACACACATTAACACTTCAAAAACAGATGCATAAAATGCAATACTAACATATTCAGAAATGTATAGTAACGCAGTATTAACACTTAAAAACAAATATGCAATAATGCGTTCAAATCTATTGCAAAATAACATAGTAAAAATTATATATAATAACACAGCACCAACACGGAACAAATAAGAGTATAATAATGTTGGGCTGACAAACTAAAAATTATAATAACACAGTGCTAACACGGAACAAATAAGATTATAATAATGTTGTGCTGACGGACTAAAAATTATAATAACACAGTGCTAACACGGAACAAATAAGATTATAATAATGTTGTGCTAACAAACTAAAAATCATAATACCACAGTGCTAACACGGAACAAATATGAGTATAATAATGTGGTGCTTACAAACTAAAAATCATAATAACACAGTGCTAACACGGAACAAATATGAGTATAATAATGTGGTGCTTACAAACTAAAAATCATAATAACACAGTGCTAACACAATAAAAATAGGATCATATAAACATCACATTTCGTATAAAGTTAATTGCTTGCAAATTCTAAACAAACAAGGCAGTTTTTTATATTATGTGTTACTTATACATACTTAAAGTTAAAACGAGCAGTAAGTTATCCCCGAAAGCTAACAACTTAGGCTAGTAAGTAAGAATTGTATTTACTCCAGTCACAGTGGTACTGAAGTTTCTAGTGTTCTAAGTGTGGAAGCCATTCCGGTGAGAAAGTCCGTGTTTGTGTTTTCTCGTGTTCTATAACCATCCCTAATTACTGGTTCACCGTATTGTTCTACTTACCTTAATCGTTAATTTTAAAATACGTGTCAACACGAGAGCTTTTCTAACCTTATAACTTGGGGGTTAGAATATTAAGCGAAGTTGAATCGAATGCACACGTGAAAACCTATTACAAAATGCTGTGCTTTTTATCTTGTGAACGTTTATGAATTTCAATGAACCCAAAATAAACTTGTCACCGTATGATTTCTTGAAGTCATGTAAAAAAAACGACAAAAATAACCACCTTCAACTGTAAGTTAGGCTCTTAGAAATTCCTAACACTTCGTCCATTGTTTTCCCGAGTATTTGTAACAATACCACACGCACTTGCCGAGATTTTAGAAGAGTGACATCAACATTTTATACAACGTCATGAGAGTGTTTTTGTTTGTTTTTATCAACGCTGTGGTCGACTCGTTTAGAAGTCTTCCAGACAATTAGCACACGATCATGTAAAACTACAGCACAGTCTACGACAGGTCACACTGTAGTGGTTATTAACCTAGATTTTATTCGTGTGTAGTGTAGAACAAACAGGGCTACCATCATCTCTTGTGGAAGCATGTGGTATGGAATATAATTATATTGTGTTTTATTCATTGATTCACGAGCTAATGTGGAAAACGTGCGGCACGCGGGTCGCACGTGAAAAAATCTTGACTCCTATAATAGTTGATTACATACAAAACTTTCATCAAACTTAATTAGTGGAAAGAAGCCATGGTACATATAGTTAAATATAATTATCAATTTCTGAGATATTCTCAAGAGAATGTTGTAGGATTATATTAAAAGTTGCTACACCAACTGTGCTTTAAGGAGACTTCTAAGCAGAACGAGGCTTCTAAAAATAGACAAACGTTTAAACATATTCAAAGAAATACTACAGTAGATAATATCACAAACTTAGCGCCTTTATTTATGTTTTTCAATGAAACAGGAAATATGGGGATAACTATCATTTGGGATTGTGTGTGAAGTATGCGAATTTATTTTCCAGTGCTGGAATGAATTTGGTTAAGAAATAACAACGTTTTACTGTGGCTAGTCTGGAGCTCTGAAATGTGTTTCATGTTTTCAGATCATCTTGAATCACATCGTTCGAGCTTCGAAGCTATAAACATACAATCCTAGCGGAGAAAGTAGTAACGAAGAAACACAAGGGTTCACACTCTAAAAGGTCATGCTTTCTTTTTGGGGAAATCTTGACCTATTTTAATGTATTGTTTGGGTAGTAACATTTCACTATTTCTCTGTTAATGATTTGTGAAAACGTTTGAAAATATAGGATGTTGTTCTGTAATGCAGATATTTGTTGACTATTCTTTGTAACTATGTTAAACAAGTCTGATTCATAAGCATTTGTTGTAGCGTTAGACATCCCCCCTCCCCTGGAAAATTAGAATCAAGTCAACCTAATCGATTGAGAATATCCTAAGGAGAGAGGGGACAATGTGTGTCCTGTTAGCCAAACGTCCTGGGTTCAAACCCCAATATATTAGTTTCTCTTCAGTTATCGGCTTTTTAGGTTACACTACTGTTTGATAGAAAATATGTTTCATTGATTCATAATACTAGCAGACGTACTCGTGCGATACACTGTGATTGTTATTGTTAAGCGCAAAGCTAAACAATAGGCTATCTTCTGTGCTCTGCACATCACGATTATCGAAACCCGATTTTAATGTCGCAAGCCTGCCACTGAGCTACCGGGGGGGGGGGGACTATAAGAGATATTTTACTTCTCTGTAAACAAATTAAGACCAAGTGAAGTTAAGATGCATTTATGTCAGCATATATAATATGTTTTAATTCAGTGGAGAATTGAAAACGTCAGACAGGTTACAGTGGATCTTCATTCTGTTTTTCTAACACTGCTAGGTTCTTAGGTTCTCGTGACACCACAAGGGGGAATTTTTTAATTCTTCGTGTTTTATTTTTTGTTTCAGCTTAATGTGTAACTTAATTATTTCTAACACAGAAATAAATCAACATGTATATAATTTTCATTAGCTGTGATTCACGGGATGATTTCGAAAAAATACCCATTTGAAAACTGGCTCGTTATTACAATGTGTTCAATTAATCTGAAAATTACTGTTTTCAATTTTCTTAAATCAGTTCAAAATGCAACTGTTTACCCCACAAACTCATTTTTACACTTATTTTAATATTATAGTTAATGTGTGATCGTTAGCTTTTGTACAAGTTAAATGGAAGTAAATTTATTTTGAATTTCGTGCAAAGATACTCGAGGGTTTTCTGCGCCAGCCGTCCCTAATTTAGAAGTGATAGACTAGAAATAAGGCACCTAGTCAACCGCCAACTTCTGGGCTACTTTTTTACCAAATAATAGTAGGATTGACTGTTACATTATAACATATCCACGGCTGAAAGGTGGTGGAATTTGAGCCCGTGACCTACAGATTGCCAGGCTGTATGTACGTTTGCATACAAAAAGTTAACTTTGTATATAGTAACATTTCAGTATACCAAACCACTTCTTGTTTTAAGTCTCTGAAACAAGGTTATATTTACTTTCGTTGGTTTTACAGACGAAAAACGTATGGACATTGAATGTTGTAAGTATCCACACCAACTCCGCCATCCTAACTGTATGCCTATCGACATTCCTCAAGATGACCCCTTCTACAAGTTCTTCAACAAGAAATGCATGGATTTTGCTCGAACTCTTCCTGGCATGAGACCCGGATGTACTCTAGGTAAGTCATTACACATATCTAACACGCATGTATTAGACTGGGAAAATGTTCAAAGCCTTGACTTGGACCTACTGGTAACTTTTCACGTAATTATTTCACACTCTGGTGCTTGACCAATCAGAGTTCAGCTTACATCAACGATACGTTATTAATTATTATTCTTTTATATTCAGGCCCTAGGTTTCAGACAAACCAAATCTCATCTTACATCGATGGTAACTTCATCTACGGTAGCCAATTGGAGGACGCCAACAGACTTCGACAGTTTCGTGGAGGTACGACATGATGTCAGTTAACGATAATAAATAGTTATAGGGTGAACGGCTTTTCTAACTTATGAAGCATGATTATAATTAATTATATTTATCATAAGACATTATTACTATACCTATTACATTTTACACTATAATATTTATTCAGTCCCATAGGGTTTTCAAAAAGAGGAAGAGTGTATAATAGTATTTCATCCAAACTATCTCTACGACGCATTTCGCTCCATACAGAGCTCATCAGGCCCGCTGGAATACAACAAACAGCACAGTAGTGGTCGAACACTGTTTATATAAAAATGTTGCAACAATGGATATGGAGGACATAGCTTGGAAGTACTATTATTCACTTCAGCCAAGGTTATATTGGTTTTACGGATTAAAATGTTTGTTTGTTTTGTCACAAGGTTTTAACAGTATTAAACAATTAAATATTAAATGCTCATCAGATAAAATTTGTTTGTTTGTTGTTACGCGCGAAGCTATATAATGGGCTATTTGTGCTGTACCCACCACAAGCATCGAAGCCCGGATTATAACGGTTTGAGCCCTCAGATATATCATTGAGACACTTGAGGGGGGGGTAGGCGCAGATGAAATAACTTTAACAAACGAAAAACAAAAGAAGTCTTGCTAATAATAATAATAAAAACACACAAGCCTAATCTTAACAAATACAAAGGTGCTTATTTATATCTATTTTAATCCCTCTCGTTTTTCTTTATCCAATAATTTTTTTCAACAAATGGGAGTTTTTCCCTTGCAGGTTTACCTGAAATCAGCTCCTTTCTACCGATAACTCGGCTTAAAAGATATCCTACCTATGAAGAAAGTTGATCCTGATCAGGGCTGCACTACTTTTTTTACTGTTTTTTTTAAGATCAAAGAATATGAAATTGACATTTAAATAAAGTTTAAATTTCTATCTGGAAAAAAAAAGTAGATCAACTGCTATCCAACAAAAGGGAGTTCTCAATAGCCGTGGCTGTAATTAGGTCTGAGATCGGTCAAGATATGAAGCTATGAGATAAAAGTTTGTACATGAAAGAAAAACTCGGAACCATTCTATGAGCCGCTATGCGGCCCGGCATGGCCAGGTGGTTAAGGCACTCGACTCGCAATCTGTGGGTCGCGGGTTCGAATCCCAGTCCCACCAAACATGCTCGCCCTTTCAGAAGTGGGGGCGTTATAATGTGACGGTCAATCCCACTATTCGTTGGTAAAAGAGTAGCCCAAGAGTTGGCGGTGGGTGGTGATGACTAGCTGCCTTCCCTCTAGTCTTGCACTGTTAAATTAGGGACGGCTAGCGCAGATAGCCCTCGTGTAGCTTTGCGCGAAATTCAAAATAAACAATAAACAAACAATATGAGCCGCTATGCCGCGGCTGAAAATGTATAAACAATGCTACTTCAGTAAATATGTGTGAAATAGAACATACAGATTGCAAAAGCTGTTGTATTGAAGAGACAGCTTTCTACTCGTTTGCAGGACCTTTTAAAATCTCCATCTCATGTTTTTCAACACATTTCTAGGAACAATTATTATTTCGATTCTTCTAAGGTAAAAATCCTTAACGGAGAAAATAACATTAACAGATAAAAAAATAAGATAATTCTTGTTTATAATAATAAAATACAAAAAAATGTTTATTTACATCTATTTTAATCGCTTCCCTTGTTTATAAAACACATTTAAGCTCTAGCCTTAAAGTTTTATTTTTATATTCACATATTTGACAGTACATTTAAAAATATTTATATAATTGTTGAATCACGTGCTTTGTGGTTATTATTGTTATGAATACTCACGTGATTCTCTTATTTTAAATTAATTTTTGTTAGCCTCAGTTTTCGTAAACAAAATAAACAAAAGTTTTACTCTGTAAAACCGATAAAATCTAGTCTGAAAAATATGTGAAATTATCATACACTCTTCTTCTCCCTGAAAAAAATCTAAGGGTGGGAGCGGATTAAGGATCAGACGAGCCTGGGGCTACAGCCTCAATATCCCCCGCCTTAATACACCCCTGCCTAAGGGACCAGATAAAGAATTTAGTATTAAAAACTACATTGGAGGCCTAATACTAATATCTCGTGACAAGTGTAATTAATTTTAAGTGACTTAAATATTAAAGATAGAAGACTATCTAATTATATTTTTGAATTCAATAAACAATGAAATCGGGACAAAGATTTTCATTTATGATGATAATTGTAATTACGGTCCTAATTATTTTTACGTTGAATTTTAATACTAAAGTATATCCAGTATTTTTTTTTCACTTATTTCAATCATTTTCCTGAAAACTGTAACTTATTTTTGGGTTTTTCCGGGCAAATACCACATTCACAAACCCACTATTATAATTGAGCATCGGTTGATTAAAAAAAACGTAGTATTACGTAATGTCAAATAATTTCATTCTACTGTAAGTACTTAATAGTCGTTATATTATTAAAATAAAAAAACTATCTTAATTAATCAGCATCTGCTGTTAATCTAGGTAAGTTCAATTTCTCACTAAAAAACATTAAATGTGCTTTGCGCTTTTTTGCGTTAACATAAAATTTTCTCTTTACCGTATATGGATTACCGATCGTCCTTTTTAACTTGACAAATAAGCTATGATCTGCTTTAAAAATTTAATCGTTTCAGCATTCCTTAGATGAGTGGTCAAATGTTATTAATTTAACTTAATTTAAGTTCCATTAATTAAATTTAAGTTTTATTTAAATTTAAACTTTTCCTGCTTTGTCTAGTTTTAGTGAGTAGGTTTGTTTGTTTGTTTGTTACGGATTTCGCGCAAAGCTACACGAGGGCTATCTGCGCTAGCCGTCCCTAATTTAGCAGTGTAAGACTAGAAGGAAGGCAGCCAGTCATCACCACCCACCGCCAACTCTTGGGCTACTCTTTTACCAACGAATAGTGGGATTGACAGTCACATTATAACGTCCCCACGGCTGAAAGGACGAGCATGTTTGGTAGGACGGGGATGAAAAAAAGTAACTATGATGGCACCTAGAACCATCAAAATAATATTTAACATACAAAGCTAGTTATACACACACACACACACGGTAGTCCCGATCATTAATAATAATCTGAAAGGGCGAGCA